TGTGGTTAATTGCCGATTTACCGCTCTGTTTCAAGGGATTTTCCCGTCTACTTTGTGCTTGACAAATCGCAGTTATACCCCTGCAAATCGGAGATCCTGCAGGGGAGACCCTACTAGCGCATCTCTGGCAGATCTCAGATCTACAGGGTGACCACATTTAATTTATTATCTTTTAAGATTAGAGCAAATTCCATAGACAACAATGCCGCATTATGTTTAGTCTCAAGTGGGGCGCGTGACAGGCCAATCTCACCCCTTTCCCCCTGCTTTGTTGATGAGGACCTCTGAAGCGGGCACGGTGGGTGACAAACACCGCTGCCTCTGGCTTCAGCGACGGACAGGCGATTCCCTCCCCGGGTTTCCTCACACTGGGCCCATGACGCACGTCTCGTGGTTTTGTTCTGGTTTCGAATATACATGACTCCTTGCCATCTGATCTGAGAGTCTCACGGCCCTAGTGTGACCACGTTGGAAAATACACAAAACATAAACTAAACCCCCACGCTAGTGGGACACGGCCCCAAGTATTTTCTTGAAGCGGGCATACCCCTTCAGGAGCCGGTTTGACGGTGTGAGATGCCCGGACACTTGGGCCCATAGGTCCCAAAGTTAAAGATCCGCTGGAGATCCAGGGGGCATGGCAACAAAGTTGCATGGCAGTCTGACAGGGGCCTTCCCCGAAAGACTGCAAACCACAGCGGAACTTTGCATCTTTGAGGGGCAAATCAGGAAATACCGCATCTTTGATGGGCAAAACTCAAATTTTCCCTTTCATTCTAAAAATAAAAGAAACATATAGAAGCATATTAACCCAGGAGTCAGGACATCAAATAAATAGCACACTTTGAGGACAAGAAGAAGAAGAAGAAGAAGAAGAAGAAGAAGAAGACAACAACGACAACAACAACAACAACAACAACAACAACAACAACAACAACGACGACAACCAACAAAGAAGAAGAAGAAGAAGAAGGAGAAGAAGAAGAAGAAGAAGAAGAAGAAGAAGAAGAAGAAGAAAGAAAGAAAGAAAGAAAGAAAGAAAGAAGAGAAGAAGAAGAAGAAGTATGAATTGCAGCGGCCGTCCTGATACTGCCTTATTCCATGAAACAGGACACCCAGCCATAATAGCTGTATTTAGTGCAACTTTCAGGCCAAACACAGATTTAGTAACTGGGCATTGTGTTCGGCGGAAGAAGGTAGTAGCTGCTTGCCACTACAAAGAACAGAATGTCACAGCTCCTTGATAACAATGCGTGATGTAACTTAACCCACTGCGGCAGGGAAAATAAGAAAAAAAGAGTCCAAGGCCGCCCATGTTCGGCAGCGTGGATAAATGGTTCTTTTTTTTTTCTTGGAACACCGCGCCGATAAATGTCAACACGCGTTTCAATCAAAGGTTAGCACTTCCGCCTACTAGTACTTGCGCAGAATGGGAAACACAACGTTTTTCTACCTTCTCCCACTGAAGAATTAAGAAAGGTACTTAGTCTACATAGAAATTAAGAAGGTGCCCTTTCTATGCACATTTTCTAATCAATCTCTTAGAATATATTGATTCTACGGAATCTTCTGCGCATTTCTTTAGTTGTCTTAATCTACGTGTGATCAAAGAAGCGAGTCACTACGCTAAGCAAAAATATCCAATCTGTTCTCCTTCCTCCCCCCCCGCCCAGACGGAAGCTAACAACTCAGAAGGAGAAGGAGGAGAAGAAGAAGACAAAGAAGAAGAAGAAGAAGAAGAAGAAGAAGAAGAAGAAGAAGAAGAAGAAGAAGAAGAAGAAGAAGAAGACAACAACAACAACAGTGTAGAACAATGCAACTTCGACAATAGCAACAGCAAAGAAGAATGCGACAACAGCAACAACAACAAAGAAGAGTATGACAATAATAACAAAGAAGAAGAAGACAAAGACAACAACAGCAACAAAGACGAAGAAGAAGAAGAAGAAGAAGAAGCCGGAAACTGTGAAGCAATGCAGTGTAGACATGAACTCAGTGGATTATCATTAAAAATGAGAGAGCGAGAAAGCGAGCGAGTGTGTGTGTGTGTCGGTGTGTGTGAGTGTGAGTGTGTGTGTGTGTGTGTGTGTGTGTGTGTGTGTGTGTGTGTGTGTGTGTGTGTGTG